TCATCTATGGCCAGGAAGACCTGGCTGTGCCCATTCCAAACTGAGGTGACCCTACAAATGCAGAAGTCGTTGAACAATATCATTAACATCACATGCAAGTGAAATTTTGCCAAAGATAATTTAAAATGACTGCAACAGTACATTGACAAGGAACTGCCAGAGGGGTTCAAGCTGGATTCAGATGAGGTGTAATGAGGGATATCGTTGCTGACCTCAGATGGGTCTTGGCTGAAAGCAGAGAATACCAGAAAGATGCTTTCCCTTGCTTTCTTGACTATGCAATGGCTTTCGACTTTGTGGATCATGACAAGCTATGGATAACATGAGGAACCTCTACATAGACTGAGAGGCAATCATTCCAACAGAACAAGGGGACACTGAATGGTTTAAAATCAGGACTGGTGTGCACCAGGGTTGTTTTCTTTCACCATACTGTTTGATCTGCAAGTTTGGTGGTTTACCTCACCAGCTGCTCCTCAGAAACCCTTTACAGGGTCTCTATAAGTCAGAACTGACTCAATGGCAGTTAACAGCAACAGCAAATTTACTCTGAATGCGGAGCATATAATTTGAGAAGCTAGATTACATGAAGAAAAACGTGGCATTGGGATTAGAGTAAGACTCATTAACAAACTGCGAGATGCAGATGATATACAACCTTGCATGCTAAAAGTGAAGCAGACTTAGAATACTTTCTAATAAATATCAAAGGCCACGGCCTTAAGTATGGGTTTCACCTCAATGAAAAGAAAGCAAAAATTTTCACCTCTAGACCAACAAATGAATGGAACTTCTAGTGCAGTGCGCTGTAGGACAAACAGTGGACTATGAACTACAGGGTCAGAAGTTCAAACCCACCATCTGCTCCTTGGTAACCCTATACAAGATTGCTGAGTTAAGCACAAATTGATGTTGTTAAGCACCAATAAATGGAGTCCTGATGTGGCTTTATACGATAAGCACTTGACTTGTAGCCACAAGGACCATGCTGCTCCTTGTAAACCCTGTACAGGGTCGCTGTGAGTCAGAACTGAGTCCATGGCATTTAACCACAAAAATGACTGACCAATAAATAACATCATGATAAATGAAGAAAAGATTAAGGTGGTCAAGAACTTCATTTTGCTTAAATCCGCTGTCAATACTCATGGAAGCAGCAGTGAAGAAATCAAACAATATATTGCATTAGGCAAATCTGTTGCACAAGATTCTTTCAAGTATTCAGGAATAAAGATGTCAATTTGAGGAATAAGGTGCGTCTGACCCAAGCCATGGTATTTTCAGTGGCCTCATAGGCATACAAAAATTGAACAGTGAAAAGGAAGACCATAGAAGAATTCATGCATTTGAGTTACGGCGTTGGAGGATAATATTAATAGTACCTTGAATTGCCTGAAGTACAAACAAATGAGTTAGAAGACATACAACCAGAATGTTCTGTAGAAACCAGAATGGCAAGATTTCGTCTCTCGTACTGGACATATTCACTATGGGTCGGAACCGACTCGATGGCATATAACAACAACAACAACAACAACTGGACATATTATCCAGAGGGACCAGTCCCTGGAGAAGGACCTCATGCTTGGTAAATTGAAAGGCCAGCAGATAAAGAAGAAACCCCCAATGAGCTGAATTGGCACAGTGGCTGCAGCAATGGGCTGAAGTGTGACACCAATTCTGAGTATGGTGCAGGACCGGACAGTGTTTCATTTTGTTGTGTATAGAGTTGGTATGAGTGAACGGACTGGATGGCACCGCTCAAAAACAAGTTGGAATCAACTCAACAGCAACCATTTTCATATTGTGTTTTTGGTTTTTTTAGCTGCCAGATTAGTCTTAATTCTAGCACTCATCATCTGTCACATGAACTGTGACAATAACCCTCTGAACTCTAAATGACCAATATACCTCCCGTCTCTCCTCCCTTCAGTCCATTTATCTACACTTCTGGGTATCTTTCTGAAAAAGCAAATAGAATGAAGTCACTGTCTTAAGCAAATCTTTTAATAATGACTAGTCCTGGTACGGTGCTACAGGTTAATGTGCCAGACTGCAAGGTCAGTTTGAGCTGCAAGGTCGGCAGTTCAGATCCTGTACCGGATCACTGTGAGTCGGGACCGACTCAATGGCACTTCACAACGTGTTACGGAGTCTTGGTGTGGTGCTATAGGATAAGCACAGGACCACAAAGTAGGCAGTTCAAACTCAGCAGCCTCTCCTTGGAAACCCTATACTGGGTCACTATGAGTCTAAACCAACTTGAAGGCACTTAACAACAAATGTGTTGGAGTCCTGGTGTGGCACTGTAGTAGAAACACTGGACTGCTAACTGCAAGGTGGCTATGTCAGAACACTAACAACGTGTTATAGCAGTATTTATTTTACTGTTTCTAAGAGGTGTCTCAGGAGTATAGCCAGTTTTGCGTCCATCAGTTCTTCATCCTGCTAATTCAATCAACTGTGAATACAAATTGGGGGGGTGGGGGGAAGAAACTCTGGTATATAGAGCTCTGGTAGCGTTGTGGTTACGGGGAGACAGGCAGTGAAAGCAATCCCTCAAAAGCTAATAAGAAGGTGCATAAAGTGCTATTTACATTATATTCCTTACAAGTAATCTAGAGATGATTAAAGTATATGGAAGGCTACTCAAAGGCTATGCAAATAGTATCTACCCCATTTTATGTAAGGGACCTGAGCATCCTGTGATTTTGGTTTGGGACAGTCCTGGAACTAATCTTCCACTGAGATTGAGAGATACTGTAATTGCTTTGGGGTCTTGTGTCAGGGTGAAGGAAGATTCAACCAGGAGAGTTTTTATTATTTTACTTTTTTCATTTCCTTCAATATGAGTGCCATCTATGTACCCGGCATTGGGTATTTCACAGTGAATCAGACATAATATAATTGGAATCAAAATATGTTACTGAAATATGCTGCACTGTCTTTATTGACATACAGGATTCTTTCTGATCTGGCCTCTGCCTACCTGGTATTCCATGCCCTGGTCATTATTAATTACTTGCTCTTTCATGCCAGTGTATACTTTGTTTCACTGGAATGCCCCTCTTGCTCAGCTCCTTCTTCCCATCTCTCCTCTCCTTACTCATTAAACATTTCTTCTTTTCTGTAAACTCAGCTCAAGTATTAACTTTGGTCCTCTGGATAGTCTCCCCATTCTTTGCTTTTCCTTGCTGTAGGTATTCGTTTCTTTGAGGTCTGTTGTTAAGTGTTGGTGAGTTAGTTCCAACTCATGGCAACTCTGTATAGGGATTCCGAGGAACACCTGGTGGGGTTGAACTGCCGACCTTGTGGTTCTCAGTCCAGTGCTGATCTTACAGCACAACACCAGGAGTCTTTGAGATCTAGTGCCACTTAATGTGTACCTCTATTATAGAAGTTATATTGTATAGGAGTTTTTGGTTCTTAACTGTTTGTCTACATCTAAAATTGTGAGCTCTTTGAGAGTGGTGGTGGTGTGCCATGGAGTCAGTTCCGACTCATAGCAACCCTGTACAGGGTTTCCAAGGCTGTAAATCTTTACGGGAGCAGAAAGTCTCATCTTTCTCCCACAGAACCACTGGTAGTTTCGAGCTAGCTGACCTTGAGGTTAGCAGCCCAACTCGTAACCACTGGAGAGTCAAAGATCCATACTCATCTTGTACCCACAAAACCTAACTATATTAAAACAAACAAACAAACAAAAATACCCAGTTAATTTCTTCATTGACTGCAACCAGTTCAGCCTTAAGCATCAAGCTTAGAAGGCTGTTACTATTGCTTTCTTACTCTATTCCACTCTGATCTTAGAGAAAGAACTACATTCAGGCTTAGTGGTAGTAAGAATGTTCTAGTGAGATTTTGAATGAGTGAGAAGGTCTTGCCCCTTCCCCAACACACACATTCACCTGTTTTACTGTTTGTTGTTGTTGTTGTTGTTAAAAGTGCTATGTGACATCAAGGAGACTAGTTAGGAAGTTTTGGGAGTGGCAGGAGTTGGAAGTTCATTGGCACTAAAGATTAGTCTGTAAGCTAATATACATGATTTATCACAACTTAGTGGTTTGTTTGATAAGAGAGGGCAGTTGCAGCAGTGCAACTGTGAAATGTGAGTATTTCAAGGAAGCATTCTTGGAAAGAAGTTGCTTGCATTGTACCAGTGGCAAGGGAGGGGCTCCTTTGAAGACACCTGATTGTATACTCTACCAAGGGTAGCAACTATTGCTACCCTCTCAATGTCGACCAATATAAACTGTAAGCAGATCTTTATTTGTTACTCTCACAACACACACACACACACACACTGCAGTCTAGCAGAAACATTTTATGGGATAGGTATTTGGAAAGAGTTTTCCTAGAAAGAGTTTTCACCAGTTCATAAGGTTGTTGTCATTGTTAAGTGCCATCAAGTCAGCTCCAACTCATAGCAACCCTGTATAGGATTTCCAAGGCTTTTAAATCTTCGTGGGAGCAGAATTTAAGTTATATACTTTGAATATCTGAATATATTTGAATACTAAATAAATATGCAGGATTCTGTGTTTGTTAGTTGTTGTTGTTAAGTGCCATTGAGTCGGTTGCGACCCTGTACAGGGCTTCCGAGGGTGTAAATCTTTACGGGAGTAGAAAGCCTCATCTTTCTCCCATGGAGCGGCTAGTAGTTTCAAACCGCTGACCTTAAGGTTTGCAGCCCGATTCGTAACCACTACGCTACCAGAGCTCCTTGTGTTTGTTAGTAGAAGTACTGTTATAGAATGGGAAATGTTTGAATTTCAGGCTTTCAGTCACTCTCATGACCATCGAACATATTGAAGAGTACCTTTTGCCTTCTCATTAAATAATATTAGTGATCTTTCATTATCACCTTTCATCAGTGAATTCTTGTATTGTTAAATAGGTTGTTATTTTCTGTCTAAAAACAGTGCTGCTTGTACTTATTGATTCTGTTTTGATATATTTTCTTTGAAAAACTTAAATGTGGAATATTTGTTTTCTTTTAGGTTTTGGACGGAAAGATGTAGTTGAATATTTGCTTCAGAATGGTGCTAATGTCCAAGCACGTGATGATGGGGGGCTTATTCCCCTTCATAATGCATGCTCTTTTGGTCATGCTGAAGTTGTCAATCTACTTTTACGACATGGTGCAGACCCAAATGCTCGTGATAATTGGAATTATACTCCTCTCCATGAAGCTGCAATTAAAGGAAAGATTGATGTTTGCATTGGTAAGACATTTTCATTTCCAGAATTTTGCTGCATTTGTAACTATTCTGAATCAAGGTTAAATTCATTCTTAATGTAGTCAGATTCTACCAGAAAGAATTTAAGTATTTGCAAACACTTCATGATGTATTTACTCTAATTGCTACTTACTGTCTTTTGATATATAGCGCTGACCTTTAAGTTCTTTGGAAAATAAGGTACAAAGTCCCTGTTTTCTAGAAACTTTTAATCTCAGAAGATAACACTCACAAAAAAAAAACAGATAAAGGCATAGTATAAGGGAGCAGGGATTATTAAGAAAATAATTAGCGCAGTAACTTGAGTAGAGTCTAGTCACTACTTCCTAGTCTCTAGGAAGTCATGGGAGAGAGATTGCGAAAGCATCTAGGAGTTTCTTTTTAAAAGCTTGAATTACAGGTCTAGGGACTTGACATTATGTGTTGTTGTTAAGTGCTGTCAAGTCTCTTCCTATTCAAAGTGACCCTGTGTAAGTTTCCAAGGAGCAACTAATGGTTTGAATTGCTGACCTTGCGATTAGCAGTTCAGTGCTTATCCTGTAGCACCACACCAGCACTCCATTAGTTATGTTTTTGTTGTTAAGTACTGCTACGTCAGTTCTGTCTCATAGAGACCCTGTATAGGGTTTTCGAGGAGCATTTGGTGGGCTTGAACTGCCAACCTTGTGGTTCGTAGTCCAATGCTGATCCTACAGCACCACAATATGTGATAATTGAAGGTTTGTGAGGATTCTGTTGTATTTTATAAAGAGTAATTTGGTAGGCCTCAGAAACCCTTTACAGGGTTGCTGTGGGTCGAAACCGACTCAATAGCACTTAACAACAGCAATGTGGTAGGGGTTGAGTAGGATAGATGGCACTAAGGAGACTAGTTGGATGACTAGACTAACCCAGGTGAGAAATGGTGAGGACATGGAGTAGGGTTATTGCAGAAGAAGAATGAAGCATTTGAAAAAAAAAATTTATGAGTCATTTAGAATACTTAAACTAACAAATGAAATAGGATTTGGTCACTATGTTAGAAAATTAGAATTGAGAAGACTGGTTGTTTTAGAATTTTCAATAATGTAGTATTTACTTTCTGAGCCTACCTCCCACCAGAAATTTGTAACTCATTGCTGCCTTAGCTTTCTTAGTCCCTAAAAGAACTCTGGTAGCATTGTGGTTATGAATTGGGCTGCGAACCGCAAAGTCAGCAGTTCGAAACTACCAGAGGTTCCGTGGGAGAAAGATGAGACATTCTGCTCCCGTAAAGATTTACAACCTCGGAGACCCTGTGCAGGGTCACTGTGAGTCAGAACTGACTCCACGGTACTTAACAACCACAACAATGCACAGTAGTTGAAATCCTTGACACAGATAGAAAGGCAGCTGCGTGTGCTATCAAAAGTCCGGGAGCTTTGTATTGTTTTTAGGTGCCATTGAGTCAACTCTCAAAGCCACCCTGTGTGACAGAGTAGAACTGCCCCATAGGGGTTTCTAGATTGTAGTCTTATGAGAACAGATTTCCAGGTCTTTCTCCCGTGGAGCCACTGTGGGCATTTAAATCGCCAACCTATTGGTTAACAACCCGTCAGGCTCCATACTAGACTTCAGTTGCTTCCCCTCCCCCCGCCCGCAACCCAGAAACGTCCCAAATCAGTATTCATACTGAAGTCATCAGCTTAGTTTAAAAACTTCCTAAAGATACAGAAAATTACCTCTGCCTAATTCTCCTTTCCTGTTTATTAAGCCCATTTTGCCTTTTGTTCAATTTAATATTTGTGCCACTTACATTGATCAGTGTATTCCATTTATTAAGAGATGATAGTGATGGCCATACAGAATTTATTGGACATATAAGAACTAGTACTCTACCTAGTTTTGTTTTAAGGATTTAATTTGGTTTTGTTTGTTTGTTAATCCTACATCTCCCTGGTCCTCATCTTAACCTATATTGCCTTGGAAATTTCCTTTTTTGTGATATAACAGTGATAGGGCATATAGTGTTCTTAGGGAAGTTTGATGAAATGAGAAAACAAGCTTTCAAAGAAACTTGCATTTATTACACATTTTTATGTGTCCTTAGTCACTTGTCACCAGTAGTATAATTAGCAAAGGGAAATCTGGCATTGGACTTACAGGAAAATATAGTTAATGCATCTACTTAGGGGAGGATCAGCAAAAAAAGATGAAGACTCCCAACCAGATGGATTGGCACATTGGCAGCAGCACCAATGGGTTCAAACATAACAGTGGTTGTGAGGATGGCACAGGACCAGGCAGTGTTTTGTTCTGTTGTACATAGTATCACTCTGAGTCAGAACTGATTTTGTGGCACCTAACAGCAACTTAATGCATTGAGGCCCCCTGGTAGTATCATAGGTTAAGCATTGAGCTGCTAGCTGCAAGATCCCGCTCTACCTCTAAGCAGGTAGAATCCAGTATGTACAGCCTCAGAAACCGTAGGAAACAGTTCTCCTCTGTCCTTTAGGGTTACTGTGAGTCAACAATGACTCGATGGCAGTGGGTTTGGCTTCCATTTAGTGTGTTAGGAGTCCTGGTAGTGCAGTGGTTAAGTACTCGACTGCTAACTAAAAAGTTGGCAGTTCAGACCCACCTGCCACTCTAAGAGAAATACATCATAGCTTCCTTAAAGATTGCAATTTAGGAAACTCTACGGGCCAGTTTCTACTCTGTCCTATAGCGTTGAAATCGATAGCAACAGATTTTTTTTAGTGTACTAAATAACAGAATGTCTTGAAAATGTAACACCATAGTATAAGGCTATAAAGTGTCTGAATAACTGAGACTCTTTGTGGACCAACATATTTGAGAGACTGATGTACTAAAGTCAAACTGTCACAATTACCATCTTGAAAGGTAGCATTGCTGTTTTGTAGTACTCTTACAACATGGAGCTGAGCCAACTATCCGAAATACAGATGGAAGGACAGCATTGGATTTAGCAGATCCATCTGCCAAAGCAGTGCTGACAGGTAAGTCTGTATATTCGCTTTGAGTATTCCAGGAAGACTACACAGAACAAGTTGCTGGGTAGATAGTCTACTTCCTGAGGTTCATTAATGACCTCAATGAAAGGTTTTAAGACGTGTCAGTTCAGTTGCTGTTGTTTTCCATCTTGACGTTCCAACTTTTCATGTTGATATTTACATTTGTCATTGCTGCCTCTGGGGTCAGAGAGTGATAACGATAATTATGTTACTGTTGGATACTACTGTGTATTCAAAATATTTCTTAAATATTTCAACATTTTTCTTAAATTAAAAAATCCTTACATTTTTCAGATAACTTATGCTTGTTCCTTACTAAACTACGGTTTTTTGTGTTTGTTTGTTTTTCATGTATTTTGATTATTTTTGATGGAATGCTTTGAAAAAGCACTTAACCATTCTCTTGCTTTGCTTTTTTTTAATAGAGGATAGAGTGCCAATTGTAGTCTACTGTAACATTAGCGTCTCTGGAACCTATTAAGATATATAAGGTGTTGGTTTCGATATTCATTTTAGAATTGCGAACTTTTCTGTATTGTTGCTTCTGGTCAGTGTGCTTCCTTATTAAACGACTCTCGCCATAGTTTGTACTAGAAACTTAACTTACTTTGTGGTGAACTATACAATCATGTCTAATCTAATAAGCCAGAGCCTGAGGGATCCTTCTATTAGCTTTTATGCTTGAGCTTTGTGATGTTTCCTCAGACAATTTAGACTAGTCTCCCAAGACTTTAAAATGTGAGCTGTTATTTCCATTTCCTTCCTCATTATTCCATCATTTTCTTTCTAAAAAAAAAAATCTTAGGGCTCAAACGAAGCCTTGCCCTGACAGTTAGTACATAAGCCTCATTGTGGGCAGTAGTTGGAATTTGGTTTTAGCAAATCATTACATGCTTTCCCTGGTATTCAATTCTCCTTATTTAAATTTTGGACTCCTGGTGTGGTGCTGTAGGATAAGCACTGGATTGCCAATTATAAGGTTGGTGTTGATATTTAAATTAAACCTACTAGCTGTTCCTCGGAAACCGTATAAAATGTCGCTGTGAGTCAGAACCTACTGGACAGTACTTAACAATTTAAATTTGAGTGATTTTATAGTTTTATATTCAAAAGCTATAAACAAGCAAGGTATCATGTGGGTGGTAGGAAGAACTATTATGGTTAAGCCTGATCAAGATGACAACGTCTCACCAAGACTGTTGCAGAGCCCAGTTCTTTGTGGGGAACAAGCCATTTAGGAGCCTGGTCAAGATTGGTGAAGTCTTAGGCATGAGCTGAAGTAAAGGGGCTTTGACAAGGCCTGATGGTCCTTGGCCAATTACTGACGCTAGAGAAAAATGAAGGCCTCTTCTGGGAGTGGCTCAAGGATGCGTGAGCACCAAGACAGAGCAGTCCTAGAACTGATTTAGTTGCCTTTGACAGTGGTACATCACCTTCTTGAGACACACGCAGTACAGGAAACCTTAAGTCCCCAGTTTACCACCTAGTGGGGACTGTCCCCTTACCTCTCTCTGCAAAGGGAAAAGTTGCTGTTCTCCTTCTCATCTCCAGTGTACTCCAGCATCATTGGGGGAGTTCTCTCCTTTCACCCTGTCAACTCAGTCTTGCATGAGTTCTCCTTGTTTCTCCTTCTGCTAGTTCCATGGTAACAGTTCCCAGCTTTCCTAAGTGCATTCCTGGACTCTTCCCATGCTCGCCTTATCTCTGGTCTGTTTTTATGCCATTTGGCTCCTTTTGGGCAGAGCAGATTCTGTCCATGTAAAGTTTTTAAGATCAATAAAGCCAGCTTTCTTTAAAAAAAAAAAAAAAAAGAAAAGAAACAAAAATCTATAAACAAATTTCCATATATTTCTGTACTCTTTTTAAAAAAATTTAAAGTACAATTATAAGAAAACAGTCTTAGTTTTAAAGAATATTCTGAATTTATAGATATGTTAATAATTGTGTTCAATTGGTGATACTGTAGATTTTCTTTTTGTCATTTCTGTAATGTTAGTACAGTGGGTTTTTTCATTGTTTTGTTTTTGAATGCAATTCTTGGTACATTTTGTTTTAAAAACAATATACCATTTTAGGAATTTTGAGGTGGTATGAAAGAAATGAGGAAATTTTCAATAGTCCATATTTTGTTCTGGACTTTTCCTTTTCTAAGTATATTGTTTTTGTATAGCTGTATGGTCATGCTTCGTTATGTAACACTGACTCATTCTTTTTCTCACTTTTAATAAAGATGTTTTCATGTTCTTTATAAGTATTTTGAAGCTGCATAATACTTTGAGTAACCCTTTTCCATGTATTAAAAATGTATTTCCAAATTTCCCTACCTGTATGGCACTGTTGGGTAGGTACTAGACTGCTAATCACAAGGTTGGTGGTTCAATCCCACCAGTCAATCCTTGGAAACCCTATACAGGGTTACTATGAGTCAGAACTGACTCAGAGACACTTAGCAACAACAACAAATATAGCTCAATCAACAGCTTTGTATATAAAATTGTGTTTAATTTTTTAAATTTTGTTTTTCCTAAATCACAGGTGAATATAAAAAAGATGAACTTTTGGAAAGTGCCAGGTATGTACTGATGTTAGCAAATAAGTACCATGAATACTTCATTAAATTTTTCCTTTACAATAAACTTTAAAATTTGAATTTTTTTTAAAATCACATGTCTGATAAAGAATACCATTTGCTTGTGGCCCTTAGTTGCCTGTTACAGAGGCTTAAACTGAACTCACCCCTCGTGCCTCAGTTTTCAGCAAAAGGAGACATGGGGGAAGACAGCACTAGGGAAGTAGCAGTCCTCAGAATTATCCTCCATTTGAGATTGAAAGGGCAGCATTTGCCCAAGGATAGAACTCAAAAGTATTAGGAAAGGAAGAGGAATGGGAAGGGGATGCACAGAGAGGAAGTGTAATAAGTAATAATAATACCATGGGGGGATTGTATTCAATGACATAGTGAAAAATGTGTCTGAATTGTTGAATGGAAAATTGATTTGTGCTATAAACCTTCATCCAGTGCGCAATATAAAAAAGTTAAAAAAAAAAAAAAATCCAGTTGCTAAGATATGTTTTTTTCTGTGTTACAGGAGTGGCAATGAGGAAAAAATGATGGCTTTACTTACCCCATTAAATGTCAACTGCCATGCAAGTGATGGCAGAAAGGTACTTCCTTTTACAAATAGATTGTGTTCATCTTCTGGTACCACGAAGATTCATTATTCTTATTTAGAAGGCTGATATTTCCTTTTAAACAGTAATTCAAAAGAGATTTCAGTAAGCTTTATTGATAGGAATATTGCTTATATTTTATTATAGTAGTGAATTTATAAACATGTCTGTGCCCTCAAATGTTGAATTTTGTGAAACCAAATTAATGACAACAATTTTTTTTATTGAGAGTTCTTGAGAAACATACACAGTAATACATAAACCAATTAAACCATTTTTACATGTTTAATTCAGTGACAGTGATTGCATTTTTCGTGCTTTGCAACCATTTTCATCCTCCTTTTCTGAAAGGCTCTTCCCCTGTCCACTTAAAGATGACAGCTATTTACATAATAAAGTCGGAAGGATCTTTGAATTGTCTGGTTTTATATTTTTTCTCATATATTTTTAAAGCCATTATTACTTGAATTTCATTAATTTATTTCATTTAACATTTCAGTCAACTCCATTGCATTTGGCAGCAGGATACAACAGAGTAAAGATTGTACAGTTGTTACTGCAACATGGAGCTGATGTTCATGCTAAAGATAAAGGGTAAGTATTTGAACAAAAATGAGTACTTCTTAAATATGACTTTAGAATTACTAGCACTTGGGGAGCTAGACAGCTTTGTAGGATAAGCACTAGAGTGTGAGCCACAAGGTCAGTAGTTTGAGCCCACCAGCTGCTACTCTTTCTTGCCACTGCAAAGATTTTCAGTCTTGGAGAGTCTCTGAGTCAAAACTGACTCTACGGTACTTAACAACAACTTAATTATAGGGTTCAAATTGATGTTGTTGAGTGCTTTCGAGTC